TACACAGCCTACACAGCCTGCTTGTTTACGTGAAAAGAACAATGCCCGCTGCAGAATGTGTGGGGGAAGCTCAGGGCTGACTGTGGTGGAACTCAGATCTCCCTCCGCTCCACATCTGCCCACATCTGCGCCTCCTTCTCACACGCCCGGCCCTCACGGGTTAAAAGCAGCCCGGCCTCTGCAGAGTTGAACCAATCATCACTGCTCCTGGTGACGTCATGCGGCTAACGGGACAGTGCTGAGGAGGCCAGGAGGAGGAAGAGGCAGGGTGGGGACTTGGCCTGGAAGATGCCCTCCCGCTGCTGCCACTTCACCTCTCAATGAGGGATTCAAGAGCCACGGGTCCCCCCTGCTACTGCTCCAGACAAAACCAGGATGTTCCCGAAATGGACATCCCGACCAGAAATTATTCTCAGCTCACACAAAATGCATACAAAGCATGTTCTGCTCATCATCCATCTCCCACTTGTTTAATATTTATGAAAGCTGATTACAAAACACAAATTTATCACTTAAACCTTCAGCCAAGTTTTAAATGACTCAAATGTTTATGCTAAGTAGACAAACAGCCTCTGTGGTTTCCCTTTCATTAACTTCAAGCCCATTCAAAGGCAGGTGTGTGAGAGACCTAGCTGATCCTCAAGACTTCATACTTTCAAGCCACAGCCTGACCAGAAAGTTATTTTTGTTGTTCTTGCAGTCAGCCCTCTGTATGGGAGGGTCCCGTAGCTGCAGGTTCAACCAACTGCCAGCTGAAGAATTTTGGGAAAAAATCGTGTCTGTATTTTATATGTAACTGATTTTTCCTGTCATTATTCCCTAAACTATACAAGAAGACAACTATTTGCATAGCATTTCTGTTGTACTGGGTATTAGAGGTCGTCTAGAGATGATTTAAAGTGTACAAGAGAGCGTACAGGTCATACATACATGGTACAAGACTTCACATAGGGCTGGGGTTCTGCAGGCTTTGGTACTGAAGCGCTGGTCCTGGAGCCAGTCCTGCACATGCACTGGGGAAGCTGGCGCAAGGTCTTTCATCCAGACATTAACTGTTGGGGCTGTGCGCGCACGTGTGTGTGTGTGTGTGTGTGTGTGTGTGTGTGTGTGTATTTAACTGTGGGAGCATCAAAGTGTACACGAGACAGGAGGAAAATATACTTAAGGAGATTCTGATCAGAGAGCACACAGCTGAAATGCTGATGATATTGCCCATCTGGTGCAAGGGGAGTGGGGCTTTCTTTCCTACAACTTAGAAGTGGGGAGAGTTTCAGGCGTGATGAATTTCGCCTGCTTCCCAGCACCCTGCACATCCACACCTGCTAAAGCACACAGCCATCGACGGCTTGTCAGAGTATGAGAAACTGGATCCCCAGAGGGAAAGGCAGGCCTGTCCAACTGGGCAGCTGAAGCGGCTTGAGAATCCAGCTACTCGTGTGGGCAGCTTTGAGCAGGTGCAGGGAGAAGCCCCAACCTGCAAGGGACTGAGAGAAGAGCTGTTTGGTAGAATCAGGGCGGGACAGCTGTGGGAGAAGACCCTCCCCGCAGAGGTGGCCTTCAGTGGAGGGACACGGCGGCTCCAGCACCCCAGCAACACAGGACACAGGCAGGCAGAGGAGAGAAGGGAATGGGTGAGAGGCAGGGGGAGGTGCTGAAACAGCAAGCCAGCCACCTCCCGACAAAGCACACACAGCAGAGTCCAGGCCTTTCAGAATGAAGATGTGAGGCCAGGTCCTACTAGCGCTGCCGTGGTTAAGATATTCACAACACACATCAATGAGGTCAGAAGAGCAAATATAAATCAGTAAATACACCACGACTCCAAACTTGGATATGCATCAAATACAAGCCAAGACAAACGATGCACAGAGGGCTGTAGGTGATCCCCACTCCGGATCCCCCCTATGCAAAGGTTCGTGTACACAGTTCCTCAGTTTAACTTCTGGGTCCCAGGGACCAAGACAACACAGAGTACTCTGACTTGACTGGACAGCCCTGCTGGAGCCTGGAGGCAGGGCTCGCAGGCTGAGCTTTGTTCAAGGCAAAATCTATTGCTTCTTTGTTACCAAAACAATAATAGAAATAAGAATCCTAGATGAAAGAGCTCCGAGGTTTACTTTACTTAACCAGCGGGGTCTTCTGAGGTCACCATGTCCAGGGCAATTCATCCAGGACTCCATTAACCATCAGCAGGGAGCAGGGACTCAAGTCCAGGAGCTACGCGTACTCAACTAGAAACCATTGTCCCAGTCAAGCAACCAACCAAATAGCCGCTGCCTCCCATCGTGGAGAAGAGCATGCTTGGAAAATAAACAGAGGGAGGGCTGCAGAGTTCTCTCCAACCTCTCTCCTCTTCCCAGAGAATGAGGCTGAAAGGCTCATTAAGTTTTGAGACCACCCGGGCTGGGTGGGCCCTTCCGTCTTGGGTGGGGCAGGGCCATGCAGGAAGACCATGAAGGGCTTCCCAGGCATTCGCCACCAGCAAATCCCAGGCCACTGCAAGAGTTCTCCTTTCCTAAACTGAGTGTGGTAGTGCACGCCTATGATTCCAGAACTTGGGAGGCTGAGGCAGGAGGATCACCATAAGTTCGAGGCCAGCCTGGGCTACACAGTGAGATCCTGTCTCAAAAAAGAAAAACAAAATGAAGTTTTCCTTTCCTAAGAAGCCCCTGCATGCCCTGGTCCCATTCGCCAAAAGCTCCAGGCACAGGTAGAATATTATTAGCTGCCACCGAGGTGACACTAAGTATCCCAGGGACTGTGCTAGGCACATACTGTCTCTTACTGGTCAGCACTCCGAAACAGATCTGACTGCCTGATCACGAATAAGGAGGATACTCTGAGGCTTAGCGAGCCTGTGCGAGCACTCAAGGCGGGGTCCTGGCTCTGCCTCCTTGGAGCACCTGCCAGACTCATCTCACCGTGACTGCACTGGGCTGGGATCACAGCTGCCCGGCAGCCTTCCTCTTCCCCCCCAGGCCTTCCATCGTGGGCTCCTCGGGCACAGCTTTCCCCACCTCTAGGATCAAAGGATAAAGAGGAAGTCAGAAAGCATGGGATATGGCACGGCAGCCTTCAGCCACCAGGCAGGGTCAGGGTGGCGTGGGGCACAGCCGTTAGCCAAGGGCCCGTGGGGTTGAGGGCTGGTCCCTGGAGGAGACGTGTGCGAAGTGTCTCTTTAGACAGAGACCCACAAAAGCCATATATGGTGTCTCACACTTGCTTGGCACCCCCAGACCCTGGGTTCAATCCCCAGTACAAAAAAAAAGCTGAAAGTTACACAAAGGGTCCTGTCAATGTGTCCGATGCCAGGTGGAGACAGGGGTGTGGCTCAGTGGTAGCGCGCCTCAAAAGCCAACAACAACAACAACAACAACAACAACAACAGCCACAAAGAGAAAACGCTTCTGGGTCCACAAGGCCCACTTCAGTAGGTGCACTTTGCCTCAGTGGTTTCGTTCCCTCTCTGGGAAGGAATGGAAGCCCATAAAGCTGCCTGGCCCCGCAGCAGGACCCTTCCTCGGCACCCCGGGCTCAGGAGAAGGTGATTTGCTAGGCAGGGAAACTGCCTTCCCGCACCCAAAGGACTGAGACGCGGCCTGGATGGCGGCGACTGCTCCGGTTGTTCAGGGCCCTCGCACTGCAGGTTGTGCCTGCTCTCCCTCTGCACAACCAGCCCTCACTGGAACCAAGGGCCCTGCGCCTGCCTGGCTTCACGCCTCGCCCCACACCATGCTCTCCTTGCCTGGAAGTTTCCGTCCGGTTCAAACCACAACAGGAATCACTGCTCCAGTCCTGGGTAAATCCCACCTCTCAGTCTTCCCTAAGCCCCTCACTCCCACATTCCCCGCCCTCTCCTCCCACCTCAGAGTGCACAGAGCTGTCTCCATCCCACATGCTGCTGGAGAGCCAGGCAGTCCAGGGCCCCGTACAGGCTCGGCAAGCACTCTACCACCGAGCTACATCACCAGTGAGACAGGGTGTCACTAAACTGCCTAGGCTGGGGAGCCCAAGAACCCCCGACACTGAGAGTCATTAGCGGCCAGGGGCCTGGTACAGGTTCCCTGAGACTTTGCTTCTACACAGTGAAACCTCTTTTGCACAGGTTTCCCTTTCTGACCAACACGGCCCCAAGCCTGGCCTCATCTGGAGAGAACCTCGATGCAGGACTTGTCCCCACCCTGTTCCCACAGCGGGAATGGGGTTGGCTTTGCTTTACATAACCTCACAGCTGCAGCCCACTAGGGCTGGGCAGGGCACAAGGCCTGCAGAACACTCAAGTGGACGCGGCAGCTGTATACTCCCCTCCTTGTGGAGAGCTAAATTCATCTGCGAGACGGCTCCTAGGAGACAGCCTGCACGCCCAGCAAGAAGCTGGCGAGGGTGGTGGGTTAACATTCCCGGGTGTTTACCCATCGCTCAGGAGCGCATTCTTCTGCGAAGTCAGAATGCCACAGGTCACGAGAAACACCCTGACGCGCAAGTGTAGCTACTCTGTCACAATGTGAGGCTGCAAAGGTTTTCTCCCCGCCAATGCTTCACTGTCTGCTGGAGCCCCGAGCTCTCTGTCTGAGCAGCTGGGGTGTGGGACAGGCAGGGCGCCTCCGTGGGGAGAGGCGTTTGGTCTTCCAGGGACACAGCAGGAATAAGCACAGAGGCGCTGGGAACAGAGCAGCCCCCCTCAGGTCCCCTTTCAGCAGCTTCTCCCCGTGCCCCCTTCCCTGTCCGCACCGGCAGCTCCCTGCTATTCCTGGGCCTTCCTCGGCATCTCCAGGGTGTGCATGTGCCCCCCGCGGCTCACAGCCTGGCATCGGAACTGTCCCTCCCTCACCCTGCTCTGCTGGGCCGACACCCTCTTGCGGCATCAGGGGTGGCCCTGTCCTCTGGGCCCAGCTACCTGGGGCCCGCCTCCCGCCCTGGGTACAAACATGCAGTCCCACTGTGAGGAACCAAGGCAACCCCCAGATCCTGGCCCGGGCAGTGACGGCGCGCAGCCTCACCTCATCCCACTCCGAGGCGAAGGAGGGTGACTTCTCCAGCCTCTTCTTCCCAATGCTGCAGTTGGACAGAGACTCGCTCCGGCTCCCCATCGCTGTGTCCTCCGTGGGTGAGCAGGTCAGTAGATCAGAGTCAGACTTGGATAAACTTCGGCTGAGTCTGAGCTCAGCTTTGGGTTTGCTGGTGGGAGGGGCTCGGCTTCTGGCCCCGCTCCGGGTTCCTTCCTCAGCACCAGCAGGGTGCGGGGGCGCAGTGTGAGTCAAAGTTTCGGGGTGCGATCGGCTGCTGGCAGAGGGCAGGCCTGCTGCGTAGCCTGTGCTCTTGCTCTGGTCCAGGCTGCCCGGCTGGGAAACTCCAGGAGGGTGCACACCCGTCTCCTCCAGCTGCATGCTGGCCTCGTGGCAGGCAGCCTGCTGCAGGGACCCGTCTGGATGGCTCTGGCCTGAGGCAGACAGCAGCTGGAAAGGGTCCTGCCCCACCTCACACACCGGGGAGGAGCCGTGGAGGAGACCTGAGAACTGCTCTGGGACCTGCCCGTCGTGCCCCTCCACAGAGTCCTGGCTCCCGCCGCCGCCACTCTGCCTGTGGTCTTGAAGTGGACAGAGAGAAATAAAAAATTAAACGTGGCAAAAATCAACAAAGTTCCACTGCAGTGAGCACACGGCAGAGCAGAAGAATTCAAAGACGGGGGAGAGATAGAAGCTGGATAGGCTGGGGAGGGGACAGAGGAAAAGAGAGGGGAAGGGAGAAAACAGTTTCATATTGTTCTTAATGCTCAGTTTGTACCCAGAGCCAGAGCATTTATGAAATTCCAAACACTGGCCTGATTAATGCTCTCTGGCAGTGCTCCTGCCATTAAGAGTTCTGTTAACATTAACGACCAGACCTTGCTATATAAGGCGAGGAGAAGTGCTAACTATGTCCTACAGGGAAGACACGGGAGGACAGTGAGGGACAGAAAGTGGGGGAAACAGGGAGGGACGGAAAGAGAGAGAAGGCGAGGGAGCTCCGGCGAGCGCCAGTGAGCAAGCATCGGCAGGCAGGCCTGGCTTTGGAACATCTGATGCATTTCCATAAAGGCCAAAGTGTTATTTAGAGCGCCGCCCGCCCTTCCTCTGGCAAGCAGTGACAGAGAAGGAAACGGAGGTCACCATCCCCAACTTGCGACTCCTGGAATTCCTTAACTCAAAGTGCAAAACACAAGAGCAGAGAAGTAACTTCCTTTCTTCCAGGAGGCAGCTTGGAGCTCCACGCCTCATCCTTCCTTCCGTGGGGAACAGACTTTTCTTTTTTAAAAGACTATGCACATCTCACTCCTGCCAAAGCTTCCAGCTGCTCATGTTTGTTTAAGTCTAACCTTAGTTGATCTACTGAAGAAGAAATGGTCTCGTTTGTCTCTGCCAGGGGACATGTGCAGCTCTCTGGAGACCTCGCTGACATCCTAGAAATCTGACACTGCCGGTTCACCAGGCCAGCTACTACTTTACACCCAAAACCTCTGCCCCGGAGCAGCATAAATCACTGATAGAACCAGGCTCTGACATCATCGAGGCACCGGGACTCCCTGGGGCTTCCCCGAGGGAACTCAGTCCCATCAGACTTTCCCCAGGTCGCCAGGGCAGGCCACACTCTGCCTGCACTCAGCCAGTTCCAAAGCCAGGGTCCACGCCTCCCCCTCACCCACCTGCATCTATGGAGGAGCACTGAACCACCCCCTCTCTGCCTGTGGGGCCCAAAAGCTACTCAGGAGATCAGAGAATCTTAGAACCAAAAGGCTCAAGTTCCAATACATATATTTTTGTTGTTCTTGATTATTTAGGCAGAGTCTCACTTTGGAGTCCAGGCTAGCCTTGAACTCACATCGATCCTCCTGCTTCAGCTTCCTGAATGCTGGGATTACAGGCACGCACCAACATGTCCCGCTGAGTTCAGATATTTTTACAGATGAGGAATCCAAGGCCTGCAGTCATTTGTCCAGGGCGGTGGGGGAGAAGGCTCTGACCCAGGAGCCAGGAGATCTGGCTCTGGCCCCAGTGTACTGCTCTCCAGCTGTTGACCTGGGCAGCGCTGCCTTTACCTTTTCGGGCCTGTACACCTGAAACTGGATTGGACTACATGCTCCTTAAACACCTTTAAAGGATCCCAGTCCCTGCCGCCAAGTGGCAGTGGCAAACTCGTCCCCCGAAGCCCAGGCCCCTTCCGGAGGCTGGGTCAGGGGAAGTGGGCACAGGAGGGGTGGCACAATGTCACCCTGGCGCTCCAGGGCCCTGCTCCTCCCAGGCTCCACCTGCCCCCCTCTCTGTGGAGTGTGGGGTCTGCATCTGCTCACCCCCAGCTCTCAGGTCTGCAGAGGGAGGAGTGGCCAGGTGGCTCCGTTTCTGACTCTGACTGCTAAGCCCCAGGAGCCAAGAGCATGGCCTTTGCTGGTCCTCCTCTACCTCTGACCGCTTTGGAACTCTCACCCACCCCCATAAATCCTTCATCCTAAAGCTCAGTCTGTGAGCAATGCACAAGCAGTGAGCAACTCGAATCACCTTGGGGAAGAAGAAACGCTGAGTGCCTGCCTGTTCCCGATAGCTGGGCGGGGCCAGAGAGCCACGGCTTGGCCTCACAGCTCCAGACATCCACCTAACAATGGCAGGGCAGACACAGTGTCCACGACCTAGAGACCCCATCTCAGAATGCTGATAATGATGACAGCGCCTAGGGATGCAGCTCAGTCCAAGGCCCTCAGGCTCAGTCCCCACCACCACAAAACAAACAAACAGCACCTGGCAGGCAGAACAACGCCACCCACTGACACTGCATGCTGGGGCCACAGAGCAGGTGACACGCGACCGACCCCCTAATGGTGGGCCAACGGCTCTTCCTCAGAGTAGCTGAGGAAGAGTCAACCAGGTGGTAAAATTTGCCACTGCTGGGAAAAATATGCTTTTTTGTTTGTTTTGTTTTGCTTTCGGTGGTACTAGGGATTGAACCCAGGGCCTCTGGACTGAACTTATCCCCACCCCTTATTTTTAAATTCTGAGACGGGGTATTGCTGGCCTTGAACTTGTGACCCTCCTGCCTAGCTTCCCGGAGTGGTGGGATTACAGGCGTGCAGTATCCGGCTTCATTCTGGGACGATACTCTAAGGACCAACTGTCTACAGACTCTGACCCTCTGGCCACATGTGAGTGAGGTTACAGGAACAAAGATTCTCCTTTACATCAGCTTCCAGCTTCTTTAGCAATCTGGGCTAGGGTGGGGCTGGGGAGGCCCAACAACAGGAGAGAAACACCATACCCCAGAAGTAGGAGTCTGCCTGGCTCACCCTGTCTGGGTGGACCTTGGAACCCAGGCCACAGGGAATGTTCCGCCTGGTGCTGTGGGCACTGACAATGAGGCTCTGTCACACAGCCACATTCATGCCAGTCCTCAATGAAGAAAGAGAGGCCCATGCCAAGAGCTCAACACTGCACCATGCCGGGGAAGGAAGTGGGCAGAAAGAAGGAATGGAAACTTACGGAGGAAGGAGCTCTACAGAGAGAGAACTGCCAAGGCTCAGAATCCCACCACAGAAACCACAGCTTACCCAGCCCTCACGGCTGTAAGAGTCCCGAAAGGGGGGTCTTCACAGGGCCTTCCCGGGACTCCCGGCAGAGACCTGAGTATCCCAAAGGCTTGTCAAGCTCTGAGAAAAAACTTGGGATCTTAACCCAAGGGATCTTTCCCCAGGACACTGTATGGAAGGCTGAGCTAGGTTTCCCAGCAAATCACAGAGTGGGAAAAGAACTACTTGTTGGTTTCTTTCTTCCGCAAACTTGGGATGCTAACAAGGTCTTTAGGGATGAGGCATGAACAATTCAGTGCTCATCAGAGACATCGAAAGCAAATCACTCCCCATCTCTGTGCCTTACTCTTCTCACTGGTAATTCTGGAATCTTAATGGGACTTACTTCACTGGATTGCTATGAGAATTAAACTGTACTTGTAGAGCATTTAGAACCAAGCCAGGCACAGGCCAGCTCTCAGCAGACGCTACACTGTTACTGTCTGCCCACAGGACGTGTCACAACTCTCACAGGTGAGCGAAGCGACTTCTCCACTCCTCAAAGGCCTGAAGATACAGAGCACCTTATAAGTATCCACAGCCTTCATCACCTTTACAACTCTTGACGGCAGAAGGAAAGACCAGAAGACAACGTGAAGGAGGACGGAAATGAAAACCTCTGAGACGGGCCCTACAAAGTCCATCCATCACTGGGGAGGTACCAGAGTCTGCCTAAGGGGACACCAGCTGATGTAAGGATGAAGATGCCAAGCCTGCCTCGGTGGGCTCACTGACTGCTGGGAGAGGCCAGCATGGTCAGAAATAATTAGAAGGCAAAAACTAACAGATGCTTTAAGAAAGGTATACTTCAAGCTGGGCGTGGTGGCATTTGGTTGTAATCCTAGAACTCTGGGAGGCTGAGGTGGGAGGACTGCAAGTTTGAGCAGACTGGGCTACATGGTGAGTTCAAGGTCAACTTGGACCACAGTCATCTCAAAAACAAACTGTTAATGAAGGCAGAGACACACACTCCTCATGGCTGTGGCTGGAGCGACCCTGCCCACCCGCTCCCCCCCCCCATCAAGGCCACACTTCAAGGCCACACTTCAAGGCCACCGCTCTCTGGAAAAGGACACCACTGCACACTCACTTCTAGCTCCATCAACCCCAGCTTTATCATTCTGGCTTTCACCCTGTGAGCTGCTGAAGCAAGGGTCCTCTGCGCTGCATTTTAATTACTCCAACGGTCCACAGGGATCGTGAGGGCTTTCGAATAATAACATTTAACATCTGCGCATTTCCAGTCACCTCTGCCCACTTGGACGAGGGCTACATAACGCAGCTCGTACAAGGAGTTCCGTGCTCAAATCAATCCTCAGGCCCCGGCTCCCAGGCTCTTCTGCTTTCTTCTTGCTTTTTTCCTGAGACAGGGTCTTGCTATGTAGTCCAGGGTGGCCTTGAACTCGCAGCAATCCTCCTGCTTCAGCCTCCGAGCAATGGGATCACGGGTGTGCACCACCATGCCCGGCTTGCTCTACTTTATCCCTGCAGCTGCTGTTGTGTGGTGAGCATCAGAAACCCTGCCTGTCCAGGGGGCTGACTAGGCGTGTGGCTGTTTCAAAAATCACTGTGCTCTCCCCAGGCGGAAGCACAGAGGAGGGGAGGCAGACTGCTGATGATCACAGTCTAGAGAGACAGACTGACTGACTGACTCTATGCTGGTACACAGGAACCTGAGAAATAAAACAAGGGCTGGACCAGGATCCAAGAGGCCCCAGTTGTAGCCCCAGCCCTGTGACTTCCTCTCTGAGTCACCTGGCTGGCTGGGACTCGAGACCTGGGGTGTGAGATTTGGCATGGGCTGATGCTGTGGCTTTCCACGGTCCCTGCAACTTGGTGGCGTTATGAACGTGACGAGCAGCACAGCTTCTGACGAAATGTTTTAGTCCCATGGTTAAAAACACGGGCTTTGGGCTCATTCAGATGAGGGCTCCAGTCCCAGCTCTAACACCTAACCTGCACTCCCTCCTCCACTACACAGGGGCAAAAATAGCCCG